TTGGTCTTCTTCACCAATGAAACCAACAGTCGCTTACAAATAAATTCTTGGCTTGGCATGGGAGCTAAGCATTCATGAGTTTAGCATGAGAGAGAGAAAGAGCTGCGATTTCCTATGAGAAACAGAGGTTTAAGGCAAGGGTGAAAGGATTCTAAAAGGGTTCGTTGAAGAGAGAGAGATGGTGGAATAACAATAGGTGTGTTGAGTAGTTTCCGGCAGCTTGACGAAAGCTCTGTTAAGCTTTGGAACAATTTATCAGAAGAGAAGATGGGAGAAGATATAGGAGTGGGGCTCGAAATTGCAAAGGTTTCAGGGATGAGATATGAAGCTTGCTCTCTGGATGCGTGTTGTAAGGATGAGAGATGATGCTTGCTCTCTTGATGTGGTTTCAAGGATGAGAGATGATACTTGCTCTCTTATTGTGGTTGTTCTAATGGGTAGGAGATGACCTTTTTTATTGCCGTTGGAAGCTCCCTCTTTCCAAGAAACCCTAATGGTTTCTCCCTAATTTTACCAAGTCTCCCCTTCATTTCACTTCTCTTCCTTCGATTCAACCTCTTTTTATGAAATCTCCCTCAATCCAAATACACAGAGACAAGATTTTTGGGAGCTCTAGAGTCTTCCCGTAACTGTCCCTGTGGCAATCTCCTATCTTTGGCTACCATCTCTCCTTCTTTCCTCCCTTATTTCATGGCAAGAGCTGGTAGGAGAAATGAGTGGGTAATGGCGCTGGTCTAAAGTGTGTTTTGCTCAAGTATCCTTTGGTTTTTTGGATGGCTTGTGTTGGGATTTGTCTTTGGCCATGTGCTGGATATTCCCAGCAATCTGCATACATAGGTAACCTTTGGCTTTTGTCGTTGTTTTGTCTCTAGCCATGTGCTGGAGACTTTCAGATATTTTATAGGTCATTTGGGCCATTCTTTAAGGTAATTGGCTAGTTCACTAAAAGGATGGGCCAACTTTCTAAAGTGATGGACTATTTTTACTAAGGTGATGGGTCAATTTTCTAAGGTAATGAGCTACCTTTTTCTCTCTTTCATGCTTACCCACATATTTGGGCTCAAGAAATGGACTTGAGTTTTGGGGCTCCCAAGCAACCCAAAACTTCCACTTCTTGGCCCATCAATGGGCCTCGTGAATGAACGTAACCATCCATACCACAATCTGCTCAGCAAGCCCTAGGCATTCGCATGGCTTGGGCCCACTTAAGCTTGTAACGTGGCGTGTTGCTTA